ATAAACTTAAAATGAATGCAGATTTCAAGAATCATTTTGTGAAGTGTGCCATTTATAGAGTAAGAAATAAATGCAAAGAAAAGTTTTTCTTTAAAATACCTCTTTGGATGTAACCCCAAGAAGCCTTATTTAAAGGAAGAAGATGACAGTGATCTCTAATTGGTGGATTTAGAATGAAATAATGAAAATTCATTCAAAGTGAATCCTTTCCCAAATCAAAAGAAGACTTGGAGTTAGAAGATCGTACATGTCATTGGTTTACCTATTTGCAATTAAAAGAAAAATGTGGTTTTGAAGCTGCTAAAATGAATTTGAAATGTTCATCATTGGTACAAAGTATCATCTTAGAGCTAAGGTTTATAAAATCCAGTTACAGTTAAACCTGAAAATGAGTATTTTAACACTGTATGATTCAGTGGGCAAGAAATTTTGGTTATAATGTTAGCGCAATGGGAAAACGTGGACTAAAAGGCTGATATTCACATTGAATTATAATCTTAATGAGAGCTTCTGTAAAGTGATATACTGGTTATATTTGATGCCAGATAAACTATCGAAGATGTATAAGGATGTTTCAAATATTTGTTGGAAATGCAGCTGTAAGGAGGGTACTTTTTATCACATGTTGTGGACATGTTACATTTTGTAGACTTTCTAAATACAATAATAAATTGCTTATAGAGGGATTTGAAGTTTAACTTTGCTGTTCTTCTTCTTGTGCCATATCCGTCATTGGATGTTGGCGAACTTATTTTTATCAACAGCCGCACGAAAATGTGTTGTTGAGTTTTGTCCAAACCAGTTCCTTAGATTTTGAAGCCATGATGTTCTTCTGCCTGGACAACATTTGCCTTCAATCTTTTCTTGGAGGATTAAGTGAAGTATGCCGAATTTTTCTGAGTATCACATCACATGTCCAAAATATTCTAACTTTCACTTTTTTATGGTTTTGATGATTTCCCTTGGCTATCCCAGGTGGCTTATTACCTCTTCATTTCTGATTTGGTCAATCCAATTTATATGTAACAGCCACCTGTAAATCCACATTTCAAACTTTGCTGTTAACTATCTTTTTTATAAATAGTAGCTAGTTAACAGGCCAATTGGTAGCAAACAGATTTGCAGAAGTTTATAAATTGTGGGCCTGCTTTGCAACAGGGAAAAACTACATAATCTATTTATCAGTATTTGACTTTTTTTCCTTTGACAGTTAAAAGATTGCAATGTGGTGGCATCCAAACTAATTTTAATACTGGATGATTTACTGTGGGTTTTGACTGATTCCCAATTGAAAGCTATGGTACAATATGCTAAATCTCTTAGTGAAGCAATAGAGAAATCAGCTGAACAGAGAAAAAGCCTTGCTTCGGAACCTATGCAGGTAAGCCAATCGGGTATTTTATGTCTTAATATTATTGATACAAATTTGTTTAGAAAACTCTACACTATGTGCTTCTATGGGATTTCAAACATTAGGGTTTTTTTTCCAAAATTGGTAGCATCAATTTTAATTATTTAAGAAATAACATAACAAGGGTTAAATATTTTTTTAGTTTGCTGTGTAATATTCCTCTAAGAAGAACCAATTGTTATGAACATTTGTTATTAGAATAGACAGTGTAATAACTAGTATATCATAGTGGACAAAGTTAGAATTAAATTAGTTTTGTATATTTTAGTATTATTTTCTGCTTTGAATCTCTTCATAACTTAATTGCACTAGGTGGCAAAGACTTATTGGCCAGACTGTCATCTTGTAGTTATTCTTATTTTTCTTGTTCTTAATTTATTTTGTATTCATTATTCATATTGTATTTTATTGAAGTTGTATTTTAAGCTGTCTAGCTTAAAAGCTGTCTGGAGTCAGCTGCCCAAATTGAATAAATTTAATTAAGTCAAATCAAATTAAATAAATTCTAGAAACATTTTGAATACTACTTTGAAAAAAATCTGTTTCACAAGATCTTGAATTTAAATTGCTGCATTTCAGCAGTGTCACCTTGTTGCTATTCAAATTAGTAGCAATAACTGTGCCAAATAACTTTGTAGATTAAAGTATAATTTATATTCTATTTGAAAGTATTATTTCATATAGAAGCATGATTTTATGTTATGGTGTTTCAGTGAAGTTTATGTTGTGCTTAAATTGTTTCAGAGTTCCACGTCAGCATATAATTCTCAGGAGATGGAAACTCAACAATCTTCAGCAGCTTCTGATCAAAATGATGCAATTGTAAGACTATTCAATGATTTTGATGTTAAGGAAACATCTTATCATCTAGCAATTTCTCATTTGGATCTGCATATCTGTGATGATATTTACACCAAAGAAAAGGGCAAGAGTTTTATTTATTATCTTTATGATTGACCAAAATCGTATGACTCTATGTTAAATTACTATATATTTCCAGTTTATTTTGCTTGTACAGTTTTAGGTCTTTGCACTAGTTCTTAAATATCAATTGGTGCATAGCAGTATCTTATTTGTTTATTAATCCAATTTAGATTTCTGCTATCTCCCTGAAGACAACTCTGAACAGAGCAAAACAAATGGATAAAACCACATATGAAACTACAAATATAAAAATCACTTTAAAAGCAAATATTATGAAAATAAAGAATCAAGTTTAGGCAAAGAGAAGATAAAAATAGTCATGGAGCTGTTTAAACATGTCTTTGTTCACTGGGAGTCCCTGTTCTGTCCCCAACCCCACGCGCACACACCAAACCAGCCGGCAAAATCCTTTTCCTTATGATAACGGAACTTGGCAACAACCTAGTGGCTGCCTGCCAAGAGTTTATTATTTACAAAGAGGAGAGATAACTTCTCCCCACTTCTGATACATCAAAGGAAAGCAGCTCAATAATTACGGAATTAAATCAAGTCCAGAGATACTCCAGCAAAGTCTTAAAGCAAAAGTCTGGCAATGCAGAATGGCGTGGAAGCTTTCAGCTTTGTTCGTCACAAGGTTTGACTGGCCGCCACGCTCCCTTTTATATCCTGTGGGATGTGTTCCAGTGACTCAGCCTAATCTCGGGCACGCCCTTTCTTCTGTTGCACGCGCTTATCTTTGCGACGCTGGCGTGGGTCCAGCCAAGACTCATTACCCTCATCACTGTCCATCTGTGGCTGCGTGGACGTGCTTGGCCCTGGTCCTATCTCTTGCCCTTCGGCGGACACCGAAGGCATTGCCAGAGAGGAGGGTCCTGGAGAGGGAGGCCTTGCAAACTCCTCCCCTTCACTCTTGGAGTCCTCTCCTGACGATGACACAGGCTCTGGTAACGGAGCCACAACAGTCCCAGGCCTCATACCAGATCCTGGTGGTCTTTTGGTATATCAAAAGGATTGGAAGCTAATCTAATGGTGGTGGTGGTGGGAGAGAATATCCCATATGATAGGTTGCATAGCTAAGAAGGCATGCCTCTTGGGATGAATAGAATAGGGTAGGGCAGGGCAGGGCAGGGCAGGGCAGGGCAAACAAAACACTTTATTTGGCCAAGTGTGATTACACACACAAAAGGCAGCTTTATTTGGAACAGCTTACATCCTGCGACTATATCTGTAACACCATCAAACATACACATCTGCCTATCCCAGATCCTCAGTAGGTAGACAAAAATGCCAAATCCAGTATGAACATCTGGTTGATTGTGTAACAAACAACAACAATAATAATAACACCAACAAGTGGGCATAGTAAAGATAAGAAGCATAATAATAATACTACATGGGTAAATATACATAGACATTACACATCACTATGAGAATTAGGTGATCAGCAGAATGATGTCCAAGGGGAAAATTGTCTCTGTGTCTAGTTGTTTTGGCCTGCAGTGATCTGTATCTCTGTCCTGAAGGGAGGAGTTGAAACATCATGTCCAGAATGTGAGGGGTCTGCAGATATCTTCTCAGCCGTCCTTCTGACCCGCACAATGTACAAGTCGTCTATGGAAGGCAGGCTGGTTGCAATTATTCTTTCTGCAGTCTTAACTATCCATTGGAGTCTATACCTGTCCTGTTTGTTTCCTTTACCAAACCAGGCAGTTGTAGAAGTACATATGACAAACTCAACTTTTATAGAGTTTCCTCTATAAAATTATCAACTTTTAGAGCATTATATAGTACAAATAACTGCAGGTTTCAATTTAAATTGATGGAAAAGAAAAGATGCAGATTTATTCAAAGATATTTAATCAATGCTTCTGAAGTAGGTTGTGTCACTTAACAATTCTAGCTAAGTAGTTTACTTTTGCAAAAATTGAAAGGAAGAGATGCATATGTAAGGGAACCATTAATCCTGTGGCTGGCAATTCTAAAAATGCTGTTTTTTCTATTTTTCATAAATTGATAATTATAGTTCTAAGAATTACAGTTCATAGAGAACAGGAGGACAACTTCAACAAGAATACATTTTCCCCCTCAATGCTCATCTATGGATATAGGCTAATAAGGGCTAGTGCCATAGAAATTGGGTATCTCCCTGTTAGTGATACTCAGGCTGTTCTTAATGCACTGTGTGTTATACCTTGTGTCACAGGTTCAGATTTGCTCTGAGAGTGGTGGTACTCAAATATTCTTAAATGTAAGGAATTTTCACAATTCTGGAAAAGTTAAACAAAAGAAAAGGCCACAATAGAAATTTACATAATCTTTTGTTTTCCTAAACAAAATTACAGTGCAGCAGATTTGAGAGCCACCAAGAAGAGACGCACGTTGCTTCAAATGAACCACAATACTTTCCTTCCAGATGAAATAAATATGAACGATGACATGTAATATTATTCATTGTATTATTTTACAGATGCAAACAGGCGTGTTTCAGGAGGTGCTATGCAGCTGTCCTTTAGTCAGTTAACTATAGACTACTATCCATTTCACAAAGCAGGTAAAAGTTGAATTCTGTTTTCTGGTTGCAAAACTGCTTGATCAGCACTTAATTTATCCACACTAAATCTTACATATAATACGTTATTGACCAAAGTGAATTGAGGATGCTGCAGATATGAAACTTTGCACAATAGGTTATATTGTATGTTATCCCAATTCAAAAAGATACGTAAATGTTTGGAAATAGTTATTTATAGTGTTCTGATAATTTCAGTTATTCTTAGCAGCTCTTAAAAACAGTCTTTCCCAATCTGTTGGCATCTAGATGTCTTCAGTCAATACACTCATCATCCCCAGCAGCAACTCCAAGGTTTCCAAGCTGGAAAGGATTTAAAAAGAATAATAAAAATCAGTAGGTTGAAAATAATTACTATAAAGAAAGGCTTTGATGTTTGGGCCTTTCTTGTTAAACAAGGGTAATTATGATGGAGTAGTGGCAGTTGTGGTCATTACAGTGGTGCATAAAATTATATATAGAACGGAGAAAATTCTATGGAGGATTTTTCCTCTCTAAATACTAGATATAAGTTATCCAATAGGGATATAAGGATAGGGATAAAGTTATCCAGCAAGAGAGTCATTTAAAAAAAGTATTTCTTTACACAACGTGCACAGCTAATACTTGATTTATGACCACAGTTGGGACCAGAATCTTGGTCGCTGTTGAGCAAAGCGATCATTAAGTGAGGTGTCACATGACTGCTTCACTCATCGGCCACAATCCCAGCATTCCCGATAATGGTAGCTAAGTGACAAATGCTGGATTAGATGGATCTTTGAAATGATGCAGTAAGGCTTTTCTTAAATTCATTACATCTTCACAACCATAATACTGATGTTAGGCAATTACAAACTGGAATCTAAACAAATAATTTAAATAGTTTCAAATATTTTAAAATACATCAAATAATTATAAAAATATTATAAATGGATTTAAGTAGGTGCTTAAATTCCTTTTCATTTTTATTAAATATATGCAATTGTAGATGAGAGCTGCAGCCATTGGATGCATTACAGTGATGCTACAAAAACCAGAAGTGAATGGGCAGAAGAACTGCTTCAAGAGTTCAAAGGAAATGTTGAATTGCTTAAGCAGGCTGTGAAGGATCACAAATTAGATTCTCCAGTTAAATTCCCATTCCAGGAGTCTCCACAGCATATACAGATAGGTATTTAGGATTTTTCATTTACTTTTACAATCTGTTTGTGGACACAGGTCCTATTTATTTGATTTGATTTGATTAGAAACACCAATACATTTGCTTTGAATAAATTTGGCTGTCTTTCCTTATATTTTGGTAATCTTTATTCATACTATATTGTAGTCTCCCATGTAAGTATAAAATTAATTTGGGAGATTGATGCTTATAATATAAATAATATTTATTAGTGAAGATAAATAATGTATTAGGTTTCCAATCCTATATGAATTGTGCAATTAATGAGTCACTTTATACCGTTTCCTTTCATTGCCTTCTCTTATTGAAATTTTAGTTTATTTTAATTATTTTTACATTACCCGGCAACATGAATAGAGGGGATTTTAGAAGGTAGCCTAAACCATATGTGTTTTTATGCTTTTTGTTTCTTATAGGCAAGGATCAAATGTCAAAAGGAATTTCTAAGACTTTTGTGTCATCACAGCAGCCAAAGGAGAAATTGATGTCTAGCCCAGTGGTAGTTAGACTTGCCGATGTCAATATTTATCAGGTACATTTAAATAATGACTGCTACAACAAATTAATATTACTCTTCTTTTATGTCCCAAATTATGAGGTTCTTAATACAAGTGTTGACTTTCAATCAAAGTGTCACAGATTTTGCCAAACTAATTGTTGGCATAAAGGGATATTTTCTTATGTGAAACTATTTGTTAGTTTTTAATCTTATAATTGGCAGAAAAAAATATTTGATCAGATTAAGTGGACATTCTGTCATCTGCCATTACTTTTGCCTTTCCAGTTTATAACCTATCAGAATGAAAATCAGGAACGATTTGCTGATTATTTTTTTTTATTTTTTTTCCCCATTGCAATTTAATTGGAGAATTGGCCCATTTCTTAAGTTTGATTTAGACTTGCCCACTACTGTTCATAGGCATTGATGCATACCTATGCTGGAGGGGGATGAGTATAGTTTGCAGATGATTGCAGATGGTCCGATGTACACACCATCCAAATCTCAATTATATATTGTATGGAGAGGCATATCTGCATCCTGATTGGCTGATCCAACATCCTATTGGGAGGCAGGGAGAAAGCAAGGCACACTGAAATAACAAAATAGAGGGTTTAAATGGAAATGCAACAGCTAGGCAACCATCTCCAAATGACAGGTGCATACATTCCCTGATGTGCAGTGTAGCAGAAGTCTGCTCCAGGCTCCATACAATGCTCAGCATGCCCCTTTGAAGATTTCTGAGGTCAGGAGAGGTTTTTTAAAAACAATATTATTACGATTAACTGTATCTTGAGCTTAAGTTATAATTATTTATATTCTAAACCACGTGTAGAACTTTTATGAATAATACATACCACTCCATATCTGGTTATAATAAGTAAGCAGTTCTTTACCGTATGTTTTTGTTGCATGATGAAAAGTATCACAGTTTATGCACAAAATAAGTATATTTTGGATTATCTTGTTTGAAGAGGTAACAGGTTAATTTTTCTGTTGTGCTATATATAAAGCTTATTAAACCACCCATCTTGGGATATAATAATCTGCTTCCAGAGGATATATCTGTTATAGGATTTAACTTTCTGGCATGAAATTTCTGTGGCTGATCTCAGAAGGAAGAAGAATCTTAAAAACATAGTTGTCCTGGGTAAACAGGACTGCACTTAGTCGATTCTTTTTAAACTGACTCATTCTTAATGATTGTATAATGTTTGCAAATTATAGTATTAGAAATTTGGATGTTAATATAAATATTTTCTATCTTTCTAGCTAATGCTTTAAATGGTTTCTAGAACCTTTGTATCTATTTCAGGCAATTTCATTTATTTTTCTCATTTTTCTTACTTGATTTGATTAAATATATAAAATGTATGATAAAACAGTAAGTTTAAATACATGTTAATTTATAGTACATATGGTACATACACAAATTATTAACATTAAGGTATTATATTTTGTATCATAATAACACATTTTTAAAACTCTGATTTTAACATCATTGGAACCAAACTAAGCAAAGGGCTTAGTTATACAACTGTTTAAAATTAAGAAATAATTATTGAAATGGTACAGCATATTAAGAATGACATTTCCTGGTATGCTGTCTACAAATCCAGTTCCATGCATCAAGGGTCATAAATGGCCACAAAAATGATGTATTTGTTTTTTGGAGGAGGGTTATTAAAATGAAAATCTGCTTCCTAATAACTGTGAAAAGTGACAGGTGAGAAGCTGTTCACATTCGTATTTCACAAAACTTAAATGCTGAATTTCTTATTTTCAGGTCTCTACAGCAGACCAGTGTCGCCGTTCTCCTAAAACTCTTATTTCTTGCAATAAAAAATCTCTGTATCTCCCACAAGAAATGCCAGCCATTCATATTGAATTCACTGAATACTACTATCCAGATGGCAAAGACTTTCCTAGTAAAATGTTTTCTTATCTTTTCCCCTTTGTTAAAATATTGTAGCTGTTTTGAAAGTAGAGTGGGTCCTCAGTTTAATGGATTCATATTTAGCAGCCTGAAGATACAGTGAATCATATTTCTATTTGGAAATCTCCTTCAAATAATGCCAATCCCTTTGAATCCAAAGTAGTCTGAATAAGACAGTTAAATTTTGTCATATTTTCTGCAGCAATATAACATAACAGAGATTATGTTTTTTTAAGTAATTATGTTGGTATATAAAAGATGAAAGTATTACTGAAATGTATTTGTTAATTACTTTCAAATTAACAGACATTTGGGAATAATGGATACTCCTACTTTCTACTCGAACCATTAAAATAAAGTTTCTCCTATATTCTCCTGAATAATTCACCACTAGTCCAGCTGGAACCTCCCATCTGTACTGTATCTGACGGTTTCTCAGTTCTTCCACCAGAAAGCCATAATCCCTTCTGGCTCTCAACATTTTGGGGGGGATTTCTTTCAGTATTAAAACCTCCTGCCCCCGCACTTGAAGCTTATTCTTAAAAGTGACTTGTAGGATTTCATTGAGTATTCTCCTTGTTGTGAAATAAACTACAATGTCTCTTGGTAGATGTTTCTGTCTGGCAACCCATGAATTGACATGGTAAATTTTGTCAATTTGCCATTCAAGATTTGCTTTTTGGTCTCCCATTATTTGTGCAAATGCTTCTGAAAAAATCTCTCTCAAATTCTCTTGCATATTTTCTTTGAGGCCTCTTATTCTCAAAGCAAATTCCATATCTTTATATTGTATCATTATCACATCGGCCTCTGCTCTTTCCATCTTATTCTGGACCTCCCCCATTTTATTTTCCAGGTTCTCATTAGACTACTTAATTTCTTCCACTTTTTCATCTATTGCTTCAATATGGCCTGCCAGACCTTGTACTGCCATGATAATATCTTCTCTAATTTCTTGATTTCATTTTTGAATAATCTCTTTAATTTGTACTATCTCCTCAGCAACATCTCGAATTTTATCCTCAAACATTGAAGCAATTTTTTTTCTGTAACAGCGGCTTGTATTTTAAGAGCTTCCTACAACATTTCAAATGTTAATATTGGTGGTTCTGTTGGAACTGAGAGAGATTGCAATTTAGATGTTTGAGCTGGCGAGGTCCCAGCACTTTTAGTGACAATAGTCTTTACTTGTTTTGAAGCCATTTTTAGTTTCCAATTTGAATTTATTTAGCAGCCAGAACAACAAATCCACCAAATCCAAAAATTCCCAGTCTTTAAATAATATCAATCCTTTTTTTAAAAAAGTCACTGCTGTAGTCTTTTTCGCCTTTAATCTTTTTTTTTTTGAAGCAAAAATCTCTAATTTTGAACAGGGGCTACCAGCGCTAAACAAAACTTTCCTCTTTAACTTTCGCTTTCACGCCCCATTAAAGCTCAATTGCCATCTTGGTTTCACTTTCTCCCCTTAATGAGTCAGAAGGAATGAGTCAGATGGAGTTAAAGTTCAGTACTTGCAAATCTGATCTCTTCTGAGTTTGCTCAGCCTGCTTCCGAATGATGTTTATTCCAAGCGTTGTTTGCAGGGGTGGCTGCGGTGTCTTCTTCTGCTTAAAACAGAAACGTCCCGGATCCGGAGCTCTGTCGGGCTTCCAGGGAGCTCTCACCCTTCGAGCCCCAGAATTGTTCCTGGGGCTTCTTAGGGAGCCCTACCTGCACCCGTCTGCTCTCTTCCCTTTTCCCGGGGAGAAAGTTTCCACTAGACAACTGATTTGCGCTGTTCTAGCGGCTTTATGAGATCGCGGGGCTGGCGCTCGCAGAAGGAGCGTCTTTGGCACCTGCGATGCCACCGGAAGTCCCCGTGTTTGCTTATTATTATTCATACCATAAAGAACAGTAAGTATTTAGGTGATAGCTCATTGTTGTAAAGGAAGTGTTGTGGCCTGCCAGCGGCCAGCAGAGCTGGGAGCAGATTCGGACAGTGAGGAGGTTGGGGAGGAACATGGGCCAGTCATGGAGTCTGGGGAAGGCTCGGACGAGGGCTCTGAGTCGGAGGTAGAGAGGGGGCCAAAGCCAGCTGGTAGTTTTTTGCTGTCTCCGGAGTCTGACATCAGCGAGGCAGAAGAACAGCGTCAGCCTGTTCCCAGGGTGCACATGTGCAGAGCTGCCAGAAGACAGGAACAGTTAAGAAAACAGGGTCAATTTGGGAGTAAGGCTTGTAGATGATTGGCCCCTCCCATAAGGCATAAGAGAAGCGAACGGGACATGAGCTTTTGCAGGAAGCAATTAGTTCATCTGGTCAGTAAAAGTTCTGGAAAAGCTGTTTGACTCTGTGCTAAGTTTGGTCTTGCCCTGCATTTGGCAATTAGTTCTCTGGTAGCATTCCAAGAGAGATAAGGTGAGTGTTTGTAAACACTCCTCTAATAGACAGTTTGAGAAGCATTTCGGACTGGGAATGACAATAATTCACAGCCATATCAATTAAAGAGGTTTGCCGGGACTAAGTTTGTGCTGTATACTTTCTAAGGAAGCCTAGGTCAGAACAGGAAGATTAGACTGCTCAGGAGAGCCTCAAGCTTTGCAGAAAAAAAGGTTTTAAGGACTGTCTTCCTGAATATAATAAAGTCAGAATGTGCTCAACATCACAAGATTTTTAACATCATTAAAGTGGATGGTAGAATAATTACAAAGGAACTGAAACTAGAATTGGAATGAATATCCTAAAAGGGATAATAGCTATATAAAAAGCTATGTATTGAAATTTTTTTGTTGTAAATTTCAATGGTGTTTGATTTTTTTTTCAAATCTCAATTCTACTATGGCAATTATCAAAATATTATTGGAGGGTAAGATCTAGTGCCACACTAAGGAAATCACTGCCATGCTAATAACATCACTGTTGTCCTTGTTGCCAATATTCTTCAAGCAGCTAGCTTATTATAGTCATAGTAACTCTACTTTTAAAACATTTTAATATAATAATTTTGTTTTCATTTCCTTTAGTTCCAAATGCAAACTTGTATATTCAACTAAATGCACTACAGTTGACTTTGGATGAAAGAAGTATTCTTTGGCTAAATCAATTTGTATTGGATATGAAACAGAGTCTCAGTCAGTTTATGGCCATGTACAAGTTAAATGACAATTCAAAATCAGAAGAACATGTTGATGTTCGAGTTGATGGATTAATGATAAAGGTACAGTTTGCAAAAGCATAACACAACATTGCTAAGTGTTTCTTTCCTATATAGAATGATGCATGATAACAGTCCTTGTTTTGAAACTCTTTGAAACTGGAGCTGTTTTTAAATGACATCATGGACAATGTGCCAATGGTTGCCTTGGTTTCTAACTTTTATAGGACATTTGGACCTTTCATGTTTTTAAATTTTCAAATTTTTAACATAGCTGAAAGAACCTGCATGTTTTTGAATATATTTCTCAGTATAACACTGATACCATACAATATTTCCAATGCCTGTGATTGTATATTATAGATAACATTGATTATTAGCTTTTTATAAAAGGTTCTAACAGTTGTGGGAGAATACACAACATTTAAGAATATGTATTCTATGTTCATAAATTAATGGTAATTTATAAATTAGCGTCCACGCTATGGGTTGGA